GTATCCTGCGCTTGCTAATCAAGAACTAGGATTCTCCGGTTAGTGCGCCCGCCGCTTATTAAGCCCAATTTGGTCTGGGCCTGAGGTTGGCTTAACAACCGGCGACTACTGTAATAAGGTTACAATAAAGAAATCACTTATGGAGCGATGGGTCTGCCTGACTTAGGAAGACGTCCTCAGTCCACTAACAGACACAGGCAAAATGCTAGTCACACGAAAAATTGATAATCGAAAAGGAATCACGAGATCGTCCCCGCAGCTGTCTTGACCATGGCAGCCATAAGCCATTGGTGGAATCTCTTCATGTCACTGAACTGGGTAGTGCAATGCTTCTTAGACCGAAGACAGTCAGTCATTCCTGTTTATTTATTCATGACAGGTGCCCTATGTCTCGATCAGTTTTCTTCGCTGTGTTCAGTAAAAGCACAGTGCTATTCTTCCCAGTAGGTAAGAAGCCGGAATTGTTAGAAGTCGTTTCGAGACTGCCAGGTGCTGGCCCTGGAAACTGGAGTCAAATGTTATGTGTGATTAGCATGTTTAGGTGCAGGAACTGTCAGCTCACGAAAGACGGTAGATGGCAGCGGATGGCTCCCTTACATTGAATTGAAGTTTGCTTATCGCCAGCAACATTCGACGTCAGAGGCAAGCTGTTTTGTAGCTTTGCAGACATTTCTGATAAAAGCGAAATCAACCCTCTCTGGATTGGTCACGGCAAGATTGAAATCCTGTCCTCTTTGTATTATTGATACTTCGGTGGATTTACATTCCTTCGTACATCGCCTTCACTCAGTTGTGAACGGACAAAATTTCAAGGCAGCATTTAGGTTTCGCTCGTTAGGATACGGTTTAAACCATATATGTTGGTATTAAAACTTACTGTTTCATGTTGTTGTGTGCACCGTGTCTGTTTGTATTTCAGTTCGGGTTACCCTTGCCTTACCTTGACGTTACATGCCGATCACGAAAGTGCCTTTTTGTATAAGCAAGGAGAAAGACAATTATTCGTTCGTCGTAATTATGTCTTTATTCACCTGAGCCTTCCAACTCTTATTGCAACCTCGCGTCATATATAAAAGTGGCAACAAAACAAGCTACATTTATAGTGGTAAGGATTAATCCGGAGGTGACTGCGAAGGCCCCGTAGGTCGGTTCCACATCGCTATATCGAGTTCTGAGACCCAGACTTCAGTCCATTCGCGACTTGTCTTGCTTCCGACGTGGTCGATTATCTGCGAAAGGAAATTCGTGAACCGTTTCGTAGGAGTGGGCAGTCACTTATGATAATCTTTCACCTCCTGGTATTCAGCTTATGTTCACGTTTGCACTAGCCAAATATGCATCCAGCCTGTCCTTGATTGTATG